AGACGAAATCCTGACTACACCTTGCACACAGGAAATAAGAACATTGTCCACTCCACAAGATGGGGTTGCAAACTGAAACTATTCACTTCTAATTATTGGCTCAACCTACAGATCAATCTCAGCAACTATCAAAAGGATGGAAAAAAAGCTCCAATCTTAGCTACCCTAGTAGCTTAGGTTATTGTTTGAAATGATCCGAAATTACAATCACAATAGTTTTGAAAGAGATACTTCAATAAAAGACCCAGAGATAGTAGGATATAAAAAATAGTGGCTTTGACATGTCTAGCTATAGCCTATAGCTAGGGTTTCTCAATGGAATCATCCTTCTGCAATCATGGAGCTGAGGATTTCTCATAAGCTTCATAATTGTGATCATGAAGATTTCTTCCCACTACTCTCCAAGCCTTCGCCATGCGCTCTCCAGCCAAATGTTTGCTTGATGGGAGACTCGATCTTCTGCAACTTATTAGTTCAATGGAGGACAATAGATTTGATGATAGATATTGTGTAATCATCTAGTTTCTGAATATCGTACAAGCATGCTGCTAGCTAGCTGGTCTCATTCACAAAATATCTCCAAGAAACTTCTCTAGTCTGTACCATGTAGTAAGAAACTTTTGGTGAAATTACTTCTTGTGAGTAATCATCAGATTAATTAAGTGAGCATCTTAAAAGGGAGTGCGGATCCCATGACTAAGCCCTTTCTAGCCATGAGATCTGGACATTTCAATCCAATGGTTAAAAAGTGGGAAGGGCTATTTAATTAATGACAGGGGTAATTTGGGTATTATGGAAAATTAAGAAGTATACAAACCGGATTTACAATCAGTACAAACCATACAAACAGTACAAACTAGAGCGACAAAACATACAAACAGATTTATAAACATTACAAACGTATGAACTGTACAAACAATACAAACTAGACCGACAAACAATAGAAACCATACAAAAAGAAAAAACAACCGGGTTGACTTTCGAGGCTCCATCCCTATATAGAGGGGCTCCTTCCCAAAGTCAACTCGGGTGTTTTTTAGACATACAAACATGGTGGACAAAAATGATAAACTAGACCAAAAATTCATACAAACTGGAAAAAACACCCGGGTTGACTTTGAAGGCTTCATCCCTATATAGAGGGCTCCGTCGCAAAGTCAACCCGGTTGTTTTTTAGACATACAAACATTACGAACATTTTGGACAAAAATGACAAACTAGACCGACAATCCATACGAACTGAAAAGAACACCCGGGTTGACTTTGGAGGCTCCATCCCTATATAGAGGAGTTTCATCCAAAAGTCAACCAGGTTGTTTTTTAGGCATAAAAAATATTACAAACATGGTTGACAAAAATGATAAACATGATGCACAAAAATAACAAAGTTTACAAACATTACAAAAAAACCCGACAAACATTACAAAATAACAAAGCGTACAAACATCACAAAATAAACAGACAAACAGCACAAAGTATACTAACCGTACAAAATGTCACTAAAAATGACAAACAATACAAACCGAAAATATACAAACATTACGAAATAGGTTAGCAAACATCCACTACAAGAAAAAAGGCTTTTTGCAACCAAATACATTGGTCTCTAAAGGTCTAAAATTGGTTATAAATACGTTTTTGCAACCAAAATATTTTGGTTGCAGGATTGGTCGCTATAGACGCGTTACGAATACCTAACGCAACCAAAATAGTGATTGGTAGCGAAAAAGAAAGCTATCGCAACCAATTTCGCCAAAGGTAAAAAAATCTTAATTTTTCGCGACCATTTTAATTTGGTTGTCATAGTCCAACCTAATGGTTGGGAAATGTAGTTGATTGGTCGCCAAAAATATAAATGACAACCAATTCAATGTGACTATTAGTAACCAATTTTTTTGGATGCAAATAGAATTTACTTACGTCTTATAGGTGACCATTCAATTTGGTCGGGAAATTAACATATGTCAACCAATTATATCATTACAACGACCAATTGTTTAGGTTATGAAAATTTAACACAACTATGAAATTTGGTTGTGAAATACACATATGCCGACCAATTATATCATTTTAGACGACTAATTATATTTGTTATAAAAGTTTAACATAACCATAACAATTGGTCGTGAAAAACATATATCTCAACTAATTAAAACATTTTGGTGACCAATAGAATTGGTTATGAAAGTTTGACGCAACCTTAAAAATTGGTCGTCAAAGATACATATGTTGACCAATCATATTATCTTAGGTAACTAATTTTATTAGTTATAAAAATTTAACACAACCATAATAATTGGTCGTAAAATATATGAATGGCGACCAACCATACCCTTTACAACTAATTCTTATGGTTATAAAAGTTTAAATGCAACCATAAGAATTGGTTGCGGAAAACATATACGCCGACCAAAAAATTCATTTCATATGACCAATTTGGTCGATGAGATTTGAGTCACTAAAATGAACATATAAAAAATTAATAGAATTATAATAACAAAATTATTTCATATAACAAAATTGTTTACCAACCAAAATTATAATTACACAATTTATTGTTTAGTGACCAAAATCACAATTACACAATCTATTGTTTAGTAACCAAAATTACAATTTATCTGTTGAAGAAGCCCTAATCAGGGCTGCCGACTAGCTTGTTGCTTGCCTTTGTTCTCCTTGAGCATTAACTAATGGTTCCTAATTAGTGAAAGACAGCCCCTGTCCCAGCTAAGTAATGGTAAGTTGAGAGTCTCCCAACAAGCACTAAAATCCAAGTGATCATTTCAGGACCCAAAAAACACAAAGTGAAAGGAAAGCTTGTGAAAATGAATTATTAGTATTGATCTCACATAGAAAGCTGTGTTTACTCCAGCGGTGTAGCCAGATTGGAGCTTGATGGAAGTGCCAAAATACCCAGATCGATACGATTTCACTGACTTGAACCCACTTCCTGTAAAAAAAAAACATACAGAGCAAATGGAAACAAATAATTAGTGAAGAAGAGAAGATGAAGGAGTAGTAACTAAAGAGACCAAACTATGTATTCTCTTGTAGTGGCAGCCATGCCTGAAGTTCTATCCAGCCAAATGGTGACTCCATTTCTGTCCACTCTTAGATGGGATTGACCCCAGAGTGTTCTGTAACCTCTGTAGAAAGCCATTGATATGAACAACGACTCCCCAGAGTGTTCTGCTGGCCTTCTTTGTCTCCTGAAGGAGTTGCTTATGTTGCTGAAGCAACAGAGGATGATGAGCTTCAGGCATATATAATATCCACCCTCTCTTCTTGCAATTTGGTGTGTTCTTTTCCAATAAATAAGAACAGGAAGCAACTGATTCATCCATTTCTTCAGGGAGATACAGGACAGGACCCTCCAAATGAATGACTATAACTTGCTCGAGCATTTATCTTCAGACACAAAGTCAAGAAAGAAACACTTCAATTTTAAGAGAGACAAATATCACTAGATGTTTACCTAAAAAAAATCTCTCCAGATGTTCTAGTCAATCATTCTTTATGTTCTAAACTGTAGCTAAGGTCTTGCGCTGCGAGGCCTTTTAGCTTGGTTCCATGGTTGAGCAACTATATACGTGTTAAAGCATATCTAACCAGCGAATATGAAAGTATACTAGTCCTTGTTAAGTATAATCATTATTCATTACCGAAAACAATAAATTCAGCTCAATTTCAGTGAGCAGACTGAGAGTTAAAGACCTACCACATCCAGTTGAGTCACATTCTTCAACACTTTCTCGATGTCATCAAGATCGACTCGAACCTGTATCGATTAGACAGAATGGAAATATAGTCAATAATCAATACTAAATAGAATTTCGATCCTAATATTGACAAGAGGTTACCTTTTCTGTTAGCATAGAAAGCACGTTGACTTCTGCTTTTGCCACTGATAGTCGTGCCTGTTGCAACTCGTCATTTAAAGGAACTGCAAAGAGCGGCTCTATAATACTTCCTCTGCCTGATTCCCTACAATAATTCATTCTTCACAGTTTAGGAACATAATAAATATGAGCTAATTCTATATAGCCAGTTCTACAAGGCTCACAGGAATGTCATCAAGAAGCCCAAGAGGCATCGCCACACTTCAACCAAAGGAGTAAGCTAGTTTAGTAACCAAAATCACAACTACACAAAATTATCATTAAGAATCAGCCTACTATTTCAAAGAATAAGGTGAGGACCTAGAGGCCAGCGAGCAATGGCCACTTTTAGCCTTTGTGTTCAACATGCACCCCACTCTCTGTATTATCTCGATGAAGATGGTAGGCCTGTCAAACACAAGACAAATTCCGACAACTCACTCTGTCAAATACAAAAATACAGGTCATAGCCTCTTGGTCCATGTTTAAACTACGAGTAGAAGATACTACAGATCTCATACTCCAGGCAACCACTAGTAGCAAAGATGGCTGTGCACAGAGTTATATGATCAAAGAAGCAAAACATATGAACTACTGAACCCTTGAAGCATACCAAGCAACACGATGAAGCTTTTAACTAAAAACAATGGGTGAGAGACTAACCATTTCATTTCACTCAAGTTTATGTAAGAAACCACTTTCACTCCAGTATCAGGGAAACCTAATAATGGAATACCAAAGATGGCAACAGATTTCTATCAGCCTTTTTTTACAGCAAATTACCTGTCACCAACAAGTTTGGTGAAGATCTGCAGCAAGATGCCCTGATCGTCTTTATCCACCAAGGTGTCACCAACAGTTTATTAACCAAAATCACAACTACACAAAATTAGCATTAAGAATCAACCTACTATTTCAAAGAATAAGGTGAGGACCTAGAGGCCAGCGAGCAATGGTCACTTTTACCTTTGTGTCCAGTCCATCTTTGCTTCCCCTATTCCTGCAATTTCAACGTCGTCTTCAATATAACCAAGAATCCCCTTCATGCAACCCTCAGATGCTTCCCTGCAAGAACAATAATGGCACATTAGATTTCAAGACCTCGTGCCAGGAGCCATAAGGTCATGCTGGTATATGAAAAACATACTTCATTGCATTCTTGATTTCATCATAAGTGGCCTTCTTCTTGAGTCTGACAGTGAGGTCAACTACCGAGACATCAACAGTGGGAACCCTGAATGCCATTCCGGTCAACTTACCGTTCAAGGCAGGCAACACTTTGCTGACAGCCTAAATAATCATGAAAGATAACCAGGGCAAGAATCCATCATAACCTTAGAAGGTTGATGCTAAACTGGACTAATCAATCTAAACCATTCATTGCCCACGCATAGTACCTTAGCAGCTCCAGTGCTGCTTGGAATGATATTGAAGGAGGCAGCCCTTCCACCTCTTCAATCCTTCATCGAAAGGCCATCCACAGTCTTCTGTGTAACTATGCCTCTCCTTCTGACATTAATCTACTGCTGCAATGCAGCTGGTGATCCCACCCTTACGCTCGCGGCAGCAAAGCAAGCAGTGTTTCTGCGCAGACTTACCCAACAATTGGATATGAAGCGCATGTGGCAACACCTGCAGTCAAAGACAATGTCAAAACCAAAATGAGTCCATTGGAAGAAGAGCACCACATTGAATGGAATAACAGTGCAGCCGTGGTAGTAGGTGCAGTAAGGAAGTTAACTTACCACACATGTTCTTCCCCATTTCCATCTTGAAGTAACCACTCTCCCCCCAATCTCCTCCCCAGGAGTTCTTGATGAGCCAGTATGGTACGCCGTCTTCAACTCCATACCCCATGGCCAGAACCGCATGGTTCACATCCTCGATAAACAACCACAGAAGGAGGTCGTACATAATACAAACACATATCTCGTCGAGGAATTTGTTTCCCGAAATTGAGTAAAAGGAAGCACACCATGGAAGTATTGCCATAGGAGTCACTGGTGAAAACCCCATCCTTGTAGAAACGGGAAACTGTTGATCACTTGAAACGCCACGCTAACTGGACGGACCGACGCAACTGCCTGCTTCGACTCATCTTCTGCCCCCTGGGATTATTCGCGATCAGTTCCCCTGTCACAAGAAATTCCAGAATCCTAGCTCAGTAAGGAGAGAGAGATCGAAGAGACGAAGGAGAAGGTATCACAGTTCCTGCGGCTGCAGTACTCGCGGTCAAAATTGCAGCGGCGCTGGTGAGGGATTGGGCGCCATCGCTAGGGATTGGAGCGGCGCTCGTGCTCCAGGCCAGTGTATCCGCCTTCCGTGTTCTCTAAACGACGCCAGGGACGAACTCCTGCTACATCGCCTCCATACCTTGCTCAACAAAGCCGGTGACGAGAGTGCCAATCCTGTCGAGGGGGATCAAGATGACTGCGCCTGGACCTCCGTCTCCGGGACAGGACATGTAAGTGATGGATCGATGAGAGATGAAGATGATGATGAGGCGCGATGGAAGAGGACAGGAGAAGTTGGAGTCGAAATCGGAATTGAGAAGAAGAGGAGGAGGAGAAGTTCTCTCGATGACGCCAGCGACGACCTCGTGCTCTTTACTTGCTTTCAAAATCGTGATTCCTCTGCAGACTGGAGTAGCCGGACCTCGAAGAAGCAAATAGGGAATCCGATAAAGACGAGACGAGAGAAGAGGAGAAGCTGGAGTCAGAACCGAAATCGAGAAGAGGAGGAGGAGAAATCTAATGGAATCGACATGAGGAGACGGAAGAAGAAGAGCAGGAGGAGAACTCGGATGGAATCAAATCGACGAGTCGAAAACCTAGTCTCTTACCAGACCACTTGAATGGCAGCTAATGAACGACAAAAATTGTTTTTCGTAATTACTATTACAGCCTCTAAGTTTTAATAATATCAGATATAGTACCTACATTTTTATAGAACACTTTGATAAATTGCAACCAAATAATTTAGTTGCTGAATTTTTTCATTGGATTTGCAACCAAAATTTTTAGTTATCTAAGATTTTCAAATCTCTTGCTTAAATTCATAACCAATAATATTTGGTTGGAGAAAGTAAAAATCAATATGCTACCAAATTATTTGGTTGGAAAAACTAAAAATAATTTTGCTACCAAAATTTTTTGGTTGGAAAAGGTAAAAATCATTTTGCTACCAAATTATTTGGTCTCTTCAAGTTTTATTTGGTTATCAATACTTTGACTTTAATAGACAACCAAATTTTTAATATTTTAGCTACCAAAATATAATTGGTTGTAAATACTACCCTTTTCACAACCAATTGTAGTTTGGTTGTAAAAATTTTGGTTGCAAAAGCTAGTTTTTGTTGTAGTGATCACAAATCTCTCTCTCTCTCTCTCCCTCCCTCCCTCTCTCTCTCTCTGAAGGAATTCCCTTGGAATAATAGCGGATGAGGGGAGAAGAATTCTCCTGCCCAGGAATTTCTTGTCCGGAAATTGGACGGAGACGGCGCAAGGGACGAGGCCGAAAATTGGACGGAGACAGGAGGCGGCGCAAGGGACCAGCTGGCTTTTTTTTATTCATTTTATAATTAAAAGTAAAAAATAAACATGCAATTACTACAGTGCCCTTCATTAAATTGGATTAATAGGAGCCCTTAGATTTTAATGAGGTTGAGTGGTTGAGATTCACCTAGCCATGTGATTAAGGGAATCCCTTAGTCACCTGATCTCAGCCCCTTAAAAGGTTTGTCTGTCACTCTGTCTATTGCATCATCGTTACCAATGAAAAAATGAATTACTTTTTCTGGAATTAGGGTTTAGCAGCGCAAGTCATTCCAACGTAACTATACTGGTTGGGAGGAGATAAATTGTATTGACATGGTTAAATTAAAAAAAAAAGGTAAATACAATTTAATATCCAAACATTTCATTTTAAACAATATAATAGCCAAACCTTTTCGAAAACAATTTAATATCCAAATCGTCAACTTTCTATCTGTTTGACCGTTAGTTGACACTTCAAAAAAGTTCGAAGTACGACACTTCATCAATATCCATCGATATATTCTCCGAAAAACCACCAACATATCGTAGTTCCAAACCCGAGAAGTCCATTACTCCACCATGATGGTATAAAATATCTAAATATTCAGTCATCTGCAATGCCAAAACAAGAAACAAAGTTGTATTGTGACAATTTCCCCTAAACAAAGCTTTTTTAAGTGTCAACTAACGGTTAAACGAACGAAAAGTTGACGATTTGGATATTAGATTGTTTTCGAAAAGGTTTGGCTATTATATTGTTTAAAATGAAAGGTTTGGATATTAAATTGTATTTACAAAAAAAAAAGTTGAACATCAAGTAACTGTCATTCTATGTGTATTTGCTCGGTGAAGATTCGGATGGTTCACTAAAGAGGTTTAGGCGTTACGTTCTTTGCCACGTCGTACTTCATAGGCACGACATAGTTGCTTATATCGTTATAAAGCAAGCCCTCCTACTCATTGGACCTACTTCTAGTCGACCAAGGGTTTCTTTCTCCTGTTCGATTTAGTTTTAACCTACAAAATGTTCTATTTACATTTATCCTTTTTAGAAATCAGTAAAAAACATTTTAGAGATAAAGCTAGAGGATCTGTAAATCTTAAATATCACAAGTACAATAATAGCGTGACTCATTGATGATGAATCGGGAGTATTGGGTATCGTCTCTTAGGGACTGGTACAACCTTAAGTTCTATCAATTTAATGAGCAAACTATAAGTGAAAATAGTTTGAGTGATGAAACTATTATCTAATAGCAAAACAATTAAAGAAAACAAGCAAATTCAAATTGTCGGGAAAAATTCAATGGCAAAAGCTCCGGGAGAAACACCGGGAGTCACTACCTATCATATCCAAATTAATTCACATATTCCAATCAGTTTGAACCATATCTCTACAGCCAGGATATCACTACTGTGCTAGCTATCCTTGTCGGGAATTACTACGTACTAAACAATTAAGTCAAATCCTACTGTCGTAGCTGAATGAATTAATTATTTAGCCTTAAGACCGACATCCCAATCAAGACTGCATAACACCTTATTTAATCCACTGTCGCTTTGATAATTACTATGTCACATGAAATATGTTCACTTATAAGGGTTTCATCAAGTCTAGATAAAATTAAAACACACAATCATGTTCTTGTTCATCATGATGCTAGTAACGAAAAGAAGAGAAAATACTTATACGAATAGAAGCACAAAATTTTATTTTCTTTCCAATCGGGGTTGCTACTGATCCGCGCCAATCGCCGCTAGCTGCTCGTGCTTTGCTCGCTAGTAGGCCCGCTGCTTCTGTTATCCGCGCTTTGCTGCCTGCTGTTCTTTTTCGGTTTTTCCAAGAGAAGTTCCGTTCCCGGTCCAAGTCTATTCCTTTATTTCATGGTCCATGAAACCGTACCGGAGATCGTACCGGAAAAGTCATCGGTAGGGTATTTTATGGTAAAACCGTGGTTTTATCGTAGTTCAACCGTTTACCGTTGTACCGTTAAATACCGCCTACCGGTTTAGCCTCCGATACTGGTATTTCGTGGTTGAACCACCGATACGGTACGGTTTCATGGACCATGCTTTATTTCCCAATTCCTTCTACGCTTCAAAGCCTTCTCCCGGCTCAAGATAGGGTGCATAACCATGGGTTATGCACCCATCAATAACCAAATCTGGACCCTTCATTTAGAAAGATCTAAGGATGGAGAATTAAAGACTATTTTTATTTTTACTAGCTTTCTTAATTGACTCATATCTTTTTCGTTTTAACTCGATTTTTTTTTTTTTGCACAGATGGAACGAGTTCACCGTGCTCTACAAAATGAGATCAATTTTCAATATTTTTTTAGGAAAAAAAAATTCTGGCCTCTCGGTACCAACTGCATACCATATGGTATCTTCTTCGTTTTTAATTCGTTTTTGAAAACGTTTGCATAGCAGGGATGAGTTCATCATGATCTACTGGATCTACAAATTTCTGGTTGAACAAATTACAGGACCAAAAAATACCACACAATACCATACAATACCACCCTGGTACGGAGTGGTATTGTATGGTATCTTCTTTGTTTTTAATTCGTTTTTGAAAACGTTTGCACAGAAGGGACGAGTTCATCATGATCTATTGGATATACAAATTTCTGGGTGAACAAATTACAGGACCAAAAAATACCACACAATACCATACAATACCACCCTGGTACGGGGTGGTATTGTGTGGTATACAATGTTAAAAGTCGTAAATTACAATTAATATACTTCTACTATCATGTATTCAACCATCCTACAGTATTGGTTTGTTCATACCACCATGGTACGTTTTTCAAAACATAGGTATGCTTTTATTTCAATACCAGTCAATACCATATGGTATAGGCTAGTAAAAAATGGCTCAATTTTTTTTGTTCGAAAAATATATTAAAGTGGATATCATTTTGAAGAGCACAATTAATCTGATCTAACTGTGCAAAAAAAATTAAATTTCGACTTAAAATGAGCGAGAAATCGTCCGTCAAAGATTAAAGAGGGAAAAATTAAAGGCTTTCCATGAGAGAGAGGATGTTGATGTCATGCTGATGTGGACGGGTTACTCATGGTTACTCACTATAAGGTTACTGACCTGATCCATTCCCCTTCTCCCGGTCCGGCCGTTTTCTCCCAAAAGAAGACAAAAGAGATGGGCCAAGAAAATCCCCCTGTCAAATTCACTTCCGCCCCCTTCTCAAATTCCACCTTTCCTCTGCAGATATGGACAACCAACTTGGTCCAAAAAATTCAACAATAGTCTTGCCCCATCCAGGCCTCCACCTTCTCAATTTCGTTTTCCAATTAGCAAGCATAAAGGCCCGGCCCGGTTCCGCTAGTGCTCCTGCATTCCTTGTACTTTAATTTGGGCCAGCGGCCCAATTGTTCTTCCACTGGTGATTCGAGCCCAAACATGCTCATGATTGTTTGTTTGTGCTAAAGCAATCTGCCTGTACTGTTCTG